ACCTCTAGAGGTTTGAGCTCCACCTCTATGACCTCTGAATCCACCTCTAGTACCTCTACCCCCGCCTCTAGCTGGCTGGGTTGGCTGTGAAGCACCTGTTGCCGGTACCATGGCACGAGAACCCTGATGCTGATGGCCACCTGGCGCGCGAGGGTAGTACCTGGTAATGTTCCTCGCATCGCCACAAGTAAAACAAGCCCTCAGCTGTTGGGGCTGACGACCTTAAAAACTCTAAAGCGGTGGTGCACAGATGGGCGGCTGCTCGGAATACTGCGGCTGGGAACCACGACCACCTGAAGTACCATGAGAGACCTGGGGGCTGACTGAAAGGGCCTAGGAGGATGGCCTATACCATACGTATCTCTACCTTTAGACGAGGTACCACTGAATCTGCCAGAATGATGGGCTCTTTTGTCTCCCCCGTGACCACCTCCCTATGACAAAACCATTTTAACTCTGCGGGCCACATTGGCCTCCTCCTGAAAGATGATCTCACTACCAGTCTCCCTAGCCATCTGGAGATGAATCGGCTGAGTCAAACCATCAATAAATCTCCTCACCCCCCCCCCCCCCCCCCTCTCAGTGGGAAGTATGACAAGATCATGGTGAGCTAGATCAATGAACCTGGTCTCATACTGAGTGACCGTCATAGAACCCTGCTGGAGGTGCTAAAACTGCCTCCGTTAGGCATCCCTCTGAGTAACGGGGAGAAACTTCTCCAGGAACAACTTTGAAAATTGATCCCAAGTCAAAGACGGCGACCCTGCTGGTCTAGCTAAACAGAAATCCCCCCACCAAGTCTTGGCGGATCTAAATAGGCGAAATGCAGCAAAATCCACTCCATTGGACTCAACAATGCCCAAGTTCTGAAGAACCTCGTAGCAGCTATATAATAAATCCTGGGGATCCTCAGAAGAAGCACCGCTGAATGTAGTAGTGAAGAGCTTGGTGAACCTGTATAGCCTCCACAAAGAATCTGCGGACATAGCCGCGCTATCGCCGGTTTGAGAAACTACCCCCGGCTGAACTGCCATAGCTGGTTGAACCACTGGAACCTGACCCTAGGGAGCTACCTGCCCCGGAGTACGTACAGCAGGAGTCTGGGCTCCTCCTCCAGCCTGAGAAGTGGCTGGTGCTATAGGAAGCAATCCTGCTCGGGTGACACTCTCTATGAGGCCCACCAACCAGACCAAAGCGTCCTAAAAAACTGGGGTAGCAATAAACCCCTCTAGGACCTAAGCTGGGCCCACTGGAACTACTGCAGCTGGGGCCAGAACCCCCTCGTCAAAGTCAACCTAAGCCTCCGCCAGTGGTGCTGCTGCTCGGGGCTGAGCTCTGCCCCTACCTCGGCCTCTCACACAGCCTCGTCCTTTGCCCCTAGTGGGAGATGCCTGGGGCTCAGACTGCTGATCGGAAGATAAGGAAGCGCGTGTTCTCGCCATCTGCGAAATAACAGAGTAGAAGTTCAATTAGCATTAAGAAACCAAACCGCATGACAAGAAAGAAAAAATGTGAAACTTTTTCTAACTTTGTAGCCTCTGGGGGATAAATACAGACATCTCCGTACCGATCCCTCAGACCCTACTAAGTTTGTTCGTGAGTTGTGAGACCTATGTAACCTAGTGCTCTAGTACCAACTTGTCACGACCCGGATTCCCCACCCTCGGGAGTCGTGATGGCGCCTACTAATAGGAGCTAGGCAAGCCAACTCTTATCTACCTTTTTCGTCAATAAAATCCTTCTTTAACAATTTAACAAGACTAATGTAAAGACAGTGGAATAAATTAAATGAGCGGAAGACTTAAATAAGTAAAACTAAAAGAAATGTGGAATCCAACATCAACCTCTACCCAAAATTTGGCGTCACATTACCCATGAACTTCTAAGAATACTAAATACAACCGTTTGAAGAAATTTAACAATTGTTTGTCTCGGATACATGAGATAACAAAATGAAGAGTAAGATAGAGGAGACGTCAGGCCTGCGGACACCTGCAAGGCTACCTCGGGTCTCCGTGGACTGAAGGATGGCTCCCGATCTAACGCTGCTGCTCAAATGCTGCTCCGGTATCTGCACATAAGTGCAGAGTGTAGCATCAGCACAACCGACCCCATGTGCTGGTAAGTGTCTGGCCTAACCCCGGCGAAGTAGTGACGAGGCTAGGATCATACTCCATATAAACCTGTGCAGATATATATATATATATATATATATATATATATACAAGTACAACGGAGAAACAACATGAATAAACCAGTTAAGCGGAGGGTAGGAGCATGCTTCAGGGGCAACAGATAGAAATGAATATCAGGAACAATAAATCGTACAACTACAGTTTAGCTTCTATCACAAAATAAAGAGATAAGACGACTTTCATAATCAACTCATCTTGTTGCAGGCGTGCAACCCGATCCCATTTCTCAATATCTCGTGGTAGGCGTACCACCTGCTCCCATTTCATCATACTTGTGATAGGCGTACCACCCGCTCCCATTTTAATATCATTTGTGGTAGGCTTACCACCCGTTCCCTTTCATTATCAATTGCTTATCCCATATTAATAAATCTTAGTCCTTTGATACTTCCTCATTACTGTTCATTTTAAGAATGGCGGCCTAATCTCATCTCATACTTTGTGACTATTGTCCATCCATCGTTAATTCACCTCGATATTAATCTACAATATACCACTGATAACTTGAAACTTCTTACATCATACCTTGCCACTAGGGCTTACGTTGCATGGATGAATATTTAAATTTATTTTTCTGATCCACTTAGGGGTGATACTGTACTTTAATGATCGTATTTTATAGCATCCCAATGTGATTGACTTACGTGGGTATTTTAATCCCGTACAATCCATGAAATTCTCTTCAAATCATTACTTAATCGAAGGCCCAAACATCGTCCTTTATCTATCACAATTACATCCTCAGGCAGCATTCCATCTTTTCTAAATGCTACTAGTCTTAGACTCCTTTGAGTTTATTTAGGCTATATTGAGCGTTCTATAACTTAGAGGGACCATCAGCTCCTTTGTTTTCACGGGTTTTATCCCAAGGACTTATCCATTGTCGTCACCTTCTCACTTACCTTCTTCTTATCCTTATTTTTGTCTTTCTAAAACCCTGTTGTTCTATCATAATTTAGCTTGCGATCGATTCCCCTTATGCATTTCTGAAACATCAAACGAGATATCGCATCCCCTTTAACTTTTCTCTACGTTCTTAACTAGACCTCTCGATACCTAGAAATCATTGACTAGAAGATATGCCATTGACGATGCTGCTATTATTCTTGGATATTGAATCCTCGTGCTTATAGCCTTCTATCCGAAGTATAGACTATTCATGATATTCTGCCCTTGAGTATCTCATACGTTGTTCACTTTTACCTTACTTACCTTAAAATCCCGCATCGTATCTTCTATCTCTCTCATGACCTCCCTTCCACCTAGGTGTAATTCACGTCCATAACTTGAAGCTCTATTATGATACTCGCACCTTTGGTACATACACAATCCGGTGGGAGCTTCGTACTGACTTCTTATGAGGCTGGTACTTCTTCTAACTGGCGTCCTTATAGGGCCATATCATGATTGAGAACATAGCAGAATCACTCTTAATATCAGGTGATCAAGATAAATAACACAACAACAACCATAATCTATTTAAATTTAGCACTTAGTGAGAGTAATACCTAAAATAGCGAGAAAAAAATTAAGAATTAATTAAAAAACAGTCAATTAGGATTAATAAAGGATAGTGAAAAGAGGAATTCTTACAAAAAAAAAAAGGTGTATTTGCACCAAATCCAAAGAGCAAAATACATGTGAAAATGTGTATTTGCAACAAGCCAAAAAGAGCAAAATACAAAAACATGTATTTGAAGCAAGCCGAAAGAACAAAAATACACGTAAAAACAATCATTTGCAGTAAGCCAAAAAAAGTAAAAAGACAGCAAAATACACGTCGTAGACTAGGTTCGAACTCCCCTCAATTGGATGGAAAACCTTGCCCTTTGCCAGTGGCACCTTGCACCAATTATATAGTGTAGGTGCCACCTTTAGTATTTATACATAATCTACTATGTGCATAAAGATATAAATACAATCTCGATCGAAGCTTGCGGGTGGCGTACCAACCTTTCCTACAACATAGATCCGCCCCTGCTCACGTGCTGCTAAGGGGTAAGAAATTACCACTTTAATTTCACTTGTTCGAATTCATACGATTATTTCATTATTTTTTTGTGTGTAAAAGGATACTCTAGTAAAATTGGTCACTCACGTGGTGTAACTTTAGTGAATTATTTTGTGTGGAAAAAGATATGGTACAATTTGATTACAGTTACTGTATCTTGTCCTTTGTGTGAAATTTCTCACCTTTACCATTCTTAATATGTATTGTATTTTTTCTTCTTTTTATTTTTAGTTTCACCTTTGGCAAAACAACTAATTGAGACTTGGCATGAATGTGTAAAACGATTTCTGCTAACCAAATCACACCGCTGGTTTTGATTCCCTCCCTTTTGCCTAGTGAACGAATAGAATGAATAGCTATATTAAGATTAGAGATTATATGAACTAAGGCGCAACATTATTTTTTATTTTGGTATTTCAATTCAGCCATAAGAAATATTTAAATCTGAATCACAAATCTTGCATCTTTTTGTAATAAAATCGAACAGTTAAGATGTAAATCAAAGAATGTAATTATATGGTGGAATATGCATAATGCGAATACGTAAGGTGTGCATAATGCAGAAATCTGGGATAATTTTATTGTTAGTGGGTATTAACATAGAAATTTCCCCGGGGCGTTAACCGTGGGTATTTTCATTCATTTTCTCCACACTAGTTTTTTTTTTCCTTCAAAAAATTTGATTCATGCTTTATACATTACAGTAACACTCTAGACATTTGCATAAGATCACACCAATGTTCCTGCTATATTTCTGAAAATTAACAGAGGGGTTTCGTAGATAGTCATGCACATGTTATAAAAACTGATATATTTATGTTCCAAAATGTTGCACCTATAACCAGGTTTAATCTAAGTAAATATATACATAGATTTTACAAAAAGAAACAAGTGATTGGAAAACTTGAAATACAGAACATTTACAATTACTATAACTTAGAGAGGTTGTGAGTTCGAGTCTCCCCAAAAGCAAGGTGGGAAGTTCTTGGAGGGAAGGATGCCGGGGGTCTATTTGGAAACAGCCTCTCTACCTCAGGGTAGGGGTAAGGTCTGCGTACACACTACCCTCCCCAGACCCCACTAAGTGGGATTATACTGGGTTGTTGTTGTTGTTGTTGTTGTACAATTACTATAACTCATAACTCAGTGTAGATACATTTGCCCGGATTGTCAACGTTAATAATCTACGAAGAACTGTTGAATGGCCTGAGCATATTCTTAGCAGTCAGCAGTAATAGCCATTTATCGAAGTCAAACAATTACAACGCCTCACATTTCCACCCAACTGCAACAAAACAAATTGGCCAGCAGATCTGGCATTTCAGCATATACTCAGTTGAAACTAGTTTGGCAATCAAATTAACTGGTAGACAACAGAATCATGTTGCAAGGAACATTGTCCGTAAGCAATTATTTCGTACTTTTTTTATATTGAACATGTTTTCCACCATGGATACCCTCAGTGGCAGCGCTATAAGCTTATAGTTGTCATACAAGCTATATGGTTGGGGCGTAAATGATAGCAGAGGTAATATGGTACGGAGGTAAGATCAAAGCTAACATGCATATCAAGTAATGACATGAGCATTTGACTACAATGAAGTTGTCAAATTTAGACGTAAAAGACATTACAAGCAGATGCCAACCCCTTTTCGTGAAATGTGGCTTATGCCTAACCGTATAGGATGGGAGAAGTTTCATTTTTTTTAACCAAAATAGGAAGTAAAGATATAAAGACAAGATTAATAAGATGGAGAGCCTTACAAAAATACGGTAACATTGGTATCATAAATCAACACCCTCGTCAAGCCCTTTAGAACTAATTATCACATTTGAATCAATTTGTTTGTCGAACTTCTTTTTACGCCTGGTTTCAAATTCTTGAAATCCTTCCATCTGAAAGAAAAGTAGTCAATGGAGATCTCCATTAGTGACTTTTTTCAGGATGCACGGAAGTGAGCCCAATAGTGACTTGTTGAAATTGGTCCATGGAAATGGGATTGCCATGTAGAGCTATGCTCTGCAGACCCTTGCATTCTTTTAATAAGTTTAAAGGCATCTGAGAAAATGAGAACCAACATATCAACAGCTAAAAGATGTCTATAAAATAAGCACAAAAGCTAGTAGAATAGTAAATTCCAGGATGATAATGCCTTAAAGACAAGAATCTACTTAGAAGTTTAAACAAATGACTTCAGATGAAGATTACTAAGCAAATATCTATATTTGGCACAACGACTATTTCACATCTCAAGTTAAAGACACGAGGATGTTTCAATTACAGTTTCCCTATGTAAAGCTTCTTCTTCGTTAAAGAAAATGCTTTTCCATGCTTGTCTTATGGTTGATGAAGAGCTATATAACATNGGGGGAGAGAGAAAACACTACAAGCATCAAAAGAAAATTTTAGTCTATAACAAAGTAAATATCGGTTTTACTCAAAAATATTACGTGGTACAGACAGTAAAACCTTAGATCTACTTATACTTACCATGCTTGTGCACATGTCCATGAGTGTGTACGTGAGAGTGAGAGAGAGAGGAAATTTTGAAAATTACCTGATTGAGATTATTATTATTCAAACAGAGTGATTTTAGTTGAATGAGATTGCAAGTTGAACCAGGAAGCTCTTCAATAGAGTTATCTGTAACAGAAGCAATCATAGTCTCAAGAGAAAGCAATAGAAGTACTAACTGTGAATCTGAGGAAAAAGGAGAAAAGAAAATGATATTATATATCAACTCAAAATGGCTACTACAAAGACTAGTCTTCTCAGATGTAAGATGGAAATTCTAATGTTCAATTTGATATACATACAAAGCTCCGACGCCTAGGAAACCAAAGGAAAAGGAGAGACAGAAAAATCAGAAGGATTATGAGCTAAAGATGAAGGTACCATTTGCTTGCAGTTCTTCCAAAGAAAAGCAACTTCCAATTGATTCCGGAAGAAACTTTAACTTGTTGTTTGAAACATTTAACAAAACCAACTGCATTGCCAAAATATATTATAAATTCTAAAGCTCAAAGTTTTCAGTGAAAAAGAACTGAGAAGATGCCAGTCTAAGCAATATGACCTTCACACACACAGACAGAGAGAAAAACATCATCTAGAATTCATAAGTAACTGATAATCTTTTAATAACAATATTGTGCAATTGTAAACGCCCTTATAGAGTCAACAGAACCATCGAACTTGATTCAGAGCCTCCAATTCATCACTTCAAGACAACAACCACGAGAATTTGAATGATAAGTTATAACGAGTCTACACAGTAGTACTTACTCTGTTTAACAGTGACAATGAAAAGATAACGGTAAACTAATCAAAATATTAAGCAAGAGGTGTAACATAAATGTCACAATAAGGGCTTACTAGCACAATTGAGAAATAAATTAGGCTTTCTTTCATAGAAATATGTATCAACTGAAACCTACAGCTTAAGCACAATAGTCCTGGATATCAAGTTAGAAGAATTCTCCAAACAAAGGCATTGGCAAGATCAAAACTTAAGTAAATCTTTTATCACCAAACACCTTTACAATAAAAATATTTTTAACAAACAATAAAACAACGTATAATCAATAACTTTATTAGCACATTAAATGAACTAACAAAGCAGGTACCAGATAAAGTGTAATGAATCACTTACACTACGCAAGCTCCCGATTGTGTCAGGCAAGCTTGTCAACAAGTTTGCTGAAACAGACAGACGCTCAAGTTTCACCAGCTGCCCCACTGAACACATGAAGTTTCTATGGTTAGAACCGAGAGTGCAGTCATATATAAGAAAAAGGTAATCCACTCAACATGAGTGATCTAACATATCTGCACTTACATTCATCAGGCAAGTTTGTGATCTGATTCCCATCAAGTGTTGCCACTTTCAAAGACTGAAGCAATCCCAAATTCATGGGAAGGCGCTCAATAACGTTATCAGCTAAAATCTGAATAGAGATAATTGGAAATACAAATTTTTTGCTCTTAGTATCAGATAATCAACTTAAGAAATATGGTCATCATTAATAGGAATATGTTCAATTTTAAGAAACGGAAAAAAAAAAAAAAAGAGGGAGAGCAGGATATTGTACTTACAAGACGTTGTAAGTTAGTTAGTTTGTTGATCTCCACGGGAATTTCAACTGTCACAACAGAATAGTAATAGTTAGCTTCCAAGAAAACAATCTTTAGGAAAATAAGATAAAGAAGTATACGAAAACAATCTTCTAGTAGCATTTGTTTTATACTCTAAAGTGATAATAAATATATATAAAATTATGAGCTCAAGAAACTAAAGAGCAATACCCAGTTTATTGTGCGTTAAGTCGAGGGTACGTACAGATCTTTCCAGGTCAAAAACTTCATCAGGAAATGTCTGTTTACAGAAACAAAAAAGATAGTCAAACAAACATTTCATCACAAATATTTGACCTTTTTCAAACGGGCTAGCTGAATTGCCTTATTAGCTATATTATGAATTTCATAACAGTAAGCATCATCCATCAAACGCTAATCAAACATATATGAGAATACAATGGATTTGAAGTCCAAAAACATATTTTTCAGAAATAGTGAAACGAAAGGCGATGAATTAAAAGTGCCATGAAATAAACATTATACGAACTGTGATTGCAATAAGAAGATGTAATTAATTGTAATCAGAAAAAAGAAAATAAAACAATTAAAAAAGGAAATGCCTTCAATTTAGAGTCGCGTAAAGCAACGATGCCAGTGGAACGCCATCGCGAAATTGTGCTAGCATCAGCTGCCTTGCTGCTGCGACAACCCATTATCACTCGAATATTATATATACACACACAACGCTTTGAGAATTAGATTGAAATCAAAGGTTAATTAAATGATTGGAAAATGTAGAATAAAAAGGTCTTCAACTGGTTCAGGGAACGGCGTTGAAGACCTTTTCGTTTACCGGTCCCCGGAGGGACCCAACGGCGTTGAAGTCGACGACTATATGAAACTCAGAGAGAAAGGTAATGGCGACGACTTTTGAATGGTTTGCTTTTGATGTTATTGCTTGAGGTGAGGTCTTGGGTTCTATTATGATTTTGTCACACGAGTGGCGATATAAATTACTACGTAATATATTATTTTTCCACTCTTGTTTTACTTTTTTTTCTTAATAGAGGTTGTCCTTGAATCGTGCAAATGAAGTTGAAGACAAGTCTACGGTGAATATTGAAGGCTATGCGGAACGGGGTGGGTTCACAGTTATGCGAGTGCGGTGCGGGGCGGGACGGGTTGAAATATCTTTTCATAAAAATTGATGCGGGGCGGGATGCGGGTCATGCGGGTTTATGCGGGTTTAAGTAAATTTTCTTTCTTATTCTTTTGAAGTTCGATGATAACTTCAAGTTATGGTTTTTTATAGACTTTTGTTTCGAAAAGACAAATATAATATTTCGTGTTTAATATTTTTTTGATCAAAGCAGACTTTTTTTTAACTTTCCTATTGAACTTCTTTTAGAGTCAATTTTTTTTAGCTAACTCAAACAAATTAATTTTATTATTGGGTTATACACAAGTTATCAAGGAATATTAGAAATAATATTATAGGAATGTAAATACTATTTTATAATGAATACTAAATTAATACATAAGCGGTCATCTGCTTTTTACAATAACCAACAGATTCTTTTTTTAAAAAAATTGAAGAATTAGTACATAAGCAACAAAAGAACTTTCAAATTTTTGGTTGATTAAACTGAAATTTCAGCCAAAATATAAAATAGAAATAAGCAAACAAAATAAAATAAAAAACTTATGCGGGGCGGGTGGACGCGGGTGTGTGTGGGTAGGGTGAACGCGGGTGAAAATGCTACGCGGGCGGAGCAGGGCGAGTTAAAATCTTTGCGTGTTTATGCGGATTCACCCCGCAACCGCACCGCACCGCTTGCCATCCTTAATAGTGAGTTATGTAATATACAATTTTGCAAAATAATATTAATATTATTGAAACAAAATCTTTTGTAAAGATTTACACATGAATTAATAAGCATTTGTTTTGTGAATGATCAACGTGGATTGTTATGTGGTAGCTTATTTGTCGAGGTCAAGATGATTGAATGTCATCCGAATATAAGAAGATGTACATTTAAAGTTTAATTAGATATTTTAATTTTATAAAGTATAAACATGTAATGAAAAATATCTCACTAATGCTTTCTTATAGAGTATATGCAGACAATATTCTTGGTGTATGTTCCTTTCATCTATTTTCATTGCTCTGATATGATCATAACTTTTTATCGACAGTGCTACATAAAATTGACCATGTGAGAATATATGTTGCCATAGATACAATCCACCACTAGAGTTTTTTTTTTATTGTCATTGTAAAACATAAACGTACATAAAATTATTTTCGGATGAATTTGAAAGAATATATTAGGGGAAAGAAGTAAATTCTTAGAATATTTTGGTAGCAAATTTGCTCGTTGTAATTTTTGCATGTATGATATCGGTTTATCATCTTTTATTTTTTCTAAAATCACCATCGCTTTCACCAAAATTTATCCATAAATTATCAGTTATTTGATCATACCTATATTTTAAAATTTAAAATTTCAACAACTTATCCACGTAGTATGTTAAATGGTCATTTTCAATGAAATTTGTGTGATTTTAGCTTGCCTTTTATTTATAGCTATTATTTTCTCTTTTCTTTTGCTCCATCATTCTCTAATAAGGGATTCTACTGTTGCTATCATGGAAACAACCTGCGAAAAGTATAAAAATAAAATTAGTGATAAGTATCAAGTAATTATGTGGGGGGGAAATTCATAATTCCTATAAAGAATTATCAAATATAATAACTAATGTCTAACATTGGCAGTAACTATTATTATTTTAGTTACATCTTGTTTGGATGATTGTTATGTATCATTTCATAATATATTATATATATTGTATTGTATTGTATTGTATCGTATCGTTTTGATTGATACAATGTTTGGATAGATTGTATTGTTTATCATCGTTTCATGATGTCATGCACCAACATTATGAATAATAAACTTGCAATATCACAAAGAAAAAATATGGTACAAGATAAAACTATTATATAAAAAGGTAGAGTAAAAAGATAAAATATAATTATTTCATAATAAGGAAGGACAAAATGAGAGAGAAAAATATGATAACGATGTGATCACACCAAGTCGGTCGTTACATATAGTGACACTTTTTATTGTTACGTAGTGATGGATTTAACGTTACAATATAATATAATTTAAGTAACAATCAAAACAAACATTGCATTTAAAGTTACAATACGGTGCAATATAACATATAACAATCATCCAAATAAGTTGTCAAAAAGTTGTTGGTTCCCCAAGTACACGCAAGTATACGTGACCGTCAAGTAATAAAGTGACTCAAATGTCGGATGTCGGACCCACATAAACTTAGATCAATAGTTAACTAAGCAAACTAAAATCGGTTAATTGTCCAAGATAATCAAGAGTGATATTTTTCTATTAATCTACGATTGCGGAAAGTAAACAAGTAACAACTAATTTATCAAGAATGCAAATATGTATGATGAGATTTTAATTCATAGGAGATGAAAATTCCAGGATTGTGGTTGGTTTATCAATCCTTTTAAGTTCAATAATCACACTCCTTAATCCAGATTATCTATGGTTGCTAGTTGACCGGATCGTTTATATGAATATCATGTTACCAAACTACTATTCATCTATCCATAATATATCAACCCAATATTCCTATAGTATTGAATCTATCATGAACGAATATAATACGGTATTCAACTAAGCAAGACAGTTAGGTATACTCCTACCCTAACCGCGAAATCGTTCCCCGAGCCACGGGTTCAGAAACAAGCTCTCTTTAATTCTACTCTAATCTAAACACGGCTTTCCCAAGCATAGCATATATAGTAGGGTGAAATGGTAGTTACAACAAGTCACAAGTTAAAACTATAATTAAAGAAACAACCGTAAGATGATAATCCGAATTAACGAAAATGTAATTAATAAACGTTAATAATCATGTCAACCACGATCCTAGAAACTAGAGTGCTTAGCCACTTATGTTCGTAGTAACAAATTTTAAGTATGTTGCATAAACAAATTATAAAGAAAAGATGAAGGAATGAAGAACTTGATGATTTTCTCCTCCAAAAGTTGTTTCACGTGATGTTCTTGCCTCCCGCCCAAAAACTTCTCTAAAAATGGTGTTTAATAACTATTTATATATGTAGGGAAAAGACTTAAATGAAATAACCAAATCCAAAATCAAAAAGGAAACAAAATAGGCTTTAAAACCTGGAACACCCTCACTATAGACCACGCAACACGAGTTCCATCTCGCTGTAACCCTGGCGTCGCTAGATCTACTGCACGCATCCATCTCGCTGTAAGCCCTCGCGACGCGAGCTCTAACGCGAGCTTGAACTCTCGCGTCGCCTGCTGCTACTTCATTTACAAATTTGCTGCCTAACTTTTCAATTTCACGTGTTCTCTTTTTTTCAATGGTTCTTTTGTCTTCTTTTGGTTTGTCTTCAATCATTGCACAATAATACAATCATAATATTTTTCGTCATTAAATAATCACGAACCATTCTTGTAGTATATAAAATACATTTAAAATTTCTACTCCGCTCTCAATTTCGTCTTCAACGTACCTACTGTTACGCGGCGCCTTTTTGAGATTCCTTGGAAGGGTGACGTAAGGCTAAGCAACTGATGTCTGTGCAGTCACTATCCGCCAACTGAGGTCCCCTCCGTACGCTAGACTAGATTGTCAGTACCGTACGGGAAAACCAATGTCAAGGGCAATTGAGAGAACAGAAATGAGAATTGAGAATGAAAGAAAACTTGATTGCATTAATGAAAACTATTACAGAAAAGCAAGGCGGTGTCGAGGGGGAGAGACACCAGTACAGAGAATTGTTGCTTGCTAGAAAGTTTTGAATGCTTGATCCCCCCTAATAATGCTTAAAAAATAAACCAAAGCTACAAGACTAGACTTGACTAAGCTAGAGAAACATAATGGAAGTACATGAAATAAAACTACTTTATATTTACAATGAAAAGGACTTAGTTTTCTACAAAGTAGAAACAGGTCCTTTGTCAGCAGCAGCGTCTTTGGCATCACGGTCGACGCGCGCGGCATTGTCTGTGCGCGCAGCGCTGTTGGCATCTGCCTGCGTCTGGGCGCTGGCGAGGGATATCGGTGGGGCGACAGAGGCACCTGCGCGCTTGTCACTTGGCGCGGCCAAGACCACGGGGCCGTCCGTGGCGCTAGGCATTGAGAGGCTTATTAGGACACCACGGGGCGCGCCCAAGGGGTCATGGGGCATGGCTGGAAAGCCGCCCATGACATTCTCCCCCACCTGAGTTGGCGACGTCCTCGGCGCCTTACTTGCCAAATAATCTTCAATGAGGCTCTTGTAAGCTTTGAGGTTTGTTCTCATCTCCCAAATATTCTCTTCTGCATCACAGCCCTGCCATTTCACCAAGAACTCTTGGTGATCTTTCCTTGAGGCATGAATCGCTCTATCATCAAGGATAGCTTCAACACGCCTTTTCCCAGTTGAATTGGGACCTCGAATACTAGGTATTGTAAGCTGACTCCGTGAAGGATCCTCTGTGTCTTCCGAAAAGGTTTCAGGAGACTGACATGGAAGACATGATGAATTTTCCACCAAGCTGGGGTATCCACCCGGTATGCAACCTTCCCAATGCGTCTTTCAATGGACAAGGGTCCAATGTATTTTGCAATAGGCGAGGGCCATGTACCCCCGCAAATAAGTACCGCTTCGGAATTTTGACCATCACTTTGTCTCCTACTTGGTATTCAACAAAGCGACGATTCTGATCAGCATGCCTCTTCATCCGCTTTTGAGCTTTGACAAGATAGCTCCGCACTATCTCCAAATTTTGCTTCCATCCTTTGAGAAGCTAGCAGCTCGAGGAGATTTAGACATATTTGGTGCGTTCACAGCGTGTGGGAGTAGCGGTTGCTGTCCGGTAACAATTTCAAAAGCGCTTTTGTTTGTACTAGAGCTCTTTTGTGAATTGAAACACAGTTGAG